TCTCATACCACATGGAACTAAATATTAATGATTAATTCAGTTATTCCTGAAGGAGTAACGCATTCTAAAAATTGTCTTGCTTTTGAAATCTTGGCTTTACTGAAAATTTTATGCACAAAGGATGTAAGGACACGTGGGAAACAACTCTCAACTTGTACACATCCTTTATGATCGTCTTTGTTGTCTACTGTTGTCATCACTCTTTGTTAAAACCAGGTCTCGCTTGTAAATGAGTCCCCGCGGCTCAATGGGATTAACCTGTATAAATAAAGGTTGAATGAAAAAGACAATTTCTCAAAATAAACATTTTTTTCCTTACCAATGATTGGTAAGAAACTTTGGATATAAACCCTTTATTATTAAACCCCTTTTGCACTGCTTTGTTGTGCAAGATAGTAAATGTGTTCAAAATCCAACAACAATTAAAACATAATTTTCACAAAACTGAAAATCTAGTTTGATCTTGGGAATCTATTGATATTTGTGTAGAGACAATACTGATAAGTTTAGCAACAGCTGATTGGTGTGTTTGTGTTATATTGAAGAATATTGTAACATTTCAAACATTGTGTGTTTATTTGCAACTCTGAAGCTTATGGATATTTTTATCATTGTCCAAGAGGTCTTTGCAGTAGTTGTGAGAAGTTCTTTATATTAGATCCAGTAGGAATCAGACCTGTGAAGTCTTATGTGGAGTGTGAAAGACGTCCAGTAGCTGTGAAATCTTAACAAAAAATGTCTGGTATTTCAGTACACCACTACCCTCTATTTCAGTGCCACAGCACACCGCTTCATCATCCGTACCAGCCATGACAGGACTCGGCCCTTACTGTAGTCAAATGTGGAGCCTTTATCTACTTTGCTCAGATGATTGGATTACTTCACAAGTGCTGTGTTTTTCTGTACTTTCAAAAATCCATTTAAACTCCTTGCACCTACAAACAAGATTAATATATAGAACAATCTAGAAAAAGACTAGTGTTAAACCTTGTTAAGCCACTCCTTTTCATTAATTTGTAATTTCAATATAATTTCTGTAGCCTAATTTTTCTAACAGTTTATGTTTCGTACTTTGGATTATTTTCCTGAAATGTATCATTGAAAAAAAAAATTATTTTCTGCTCATAGCAAAGTCACCAATGGATGGGTTCATATCTGTAGTCATAAGCTGTAATAATTTTGTTCACTGTGAAAAGGGATATTTTTGTTTTTTTAAAACTCCCCACATGATACCTGACTCACATTGTTCGATTTTTGCCTGTTACATGCCACATTGTGCAAGTATGAAATTCTAAAATCTTCAGTATTTCCCCTAAATAGATTGGGGGGAGAGACAGAGTCACGTCTGAGCTGCGTGCTGTTTGTACCAGCAGTTTTCATGGAGGGGGGCAGAGGCACAACTGAGCTGCACGCTGTTTGTACCGACAGTTTTCGAGCGGGCATCGTGAGCGCTGCCTTTAGCTTTTTAGCTAGCACATCTGTATTGCGCGCTGCTAGCTTAGTGCTACGTCAGTACCGACAAGTAGGTGGGAGGTCTGTACACGCAGTTCAGTTCGGTAGATGGGGCGCTCAGTTCTGTTGACAGGGCAGGGCGCCCCGCTTGTATAATGGTAGGGGAAGTGTTCCCGAGTGAGACACTGAACCCCTCAATGCCTCTGTGTGTCCCATCGGTGTATGAAACCTGTCTCCTTCCTTGAAGCAAACCGCGGTTCAGAGCTCATTTAGCCGTGCTGTGCCTTTTAGAGAAACGGAGAGGTAGCGCAACATTAATAAATCGGCAACTTTGTCATATAGCTAAGACATGGTCCTGTCTCAGCTGTGGAAAAAGATGGCTAAAGCGTTAGCTATCTTGTTAGCCACTAAGGACCATATCTTTAGCGATATGATAAAGCTGCTGCTCTACCTCTCTCTGTTTCTCTAACAGGCACAGCACAGCTAAATGAGCTTTGAACTGTGGTTTGCTTCAGGGAAGGAGTCAGGTTTGTCGGAGTTGTAGCTTCACACACGCTCAGCTGCTCATGTTCACCGCTGCTAAACGTCTCCTCTCCTGCCCACCCACCTCCTGGAGAAGCAGGAAGGGGAGCACAGCTGAGGGCTGTGTGTTTGTGTTCGAGGAGGGGGGCGAGTGGGAGAAAGAAGATGGCTGGAGGATTTCCAAGTGTAAAACTATATATTTTTTTATATCGAGATAGTCTCAACTTATATCGCAAAAAAAATGTATATAGATATTTTTAAACTATTGAGATATCGCCCAGATCTACTGTGGACCATGACATCTTATGTCATAAGCTCTCAGAAATTGGTTTCTCAGATCACACCATTGGTTGGTTTTCTATCCTCAGATCGGAGGCAATGTGTTCAACGTAATGGTACTCCTTCCAGTTATCTAACTGTTAACAATGGTGTACCACAAGGTTCAGTCTTGGGACCCACCCTGTTCATAGTCAATATAAGTAATCTAGGTCATATCATTCCAGATGCATCCTTATGATTCTATGCTGACGACACAGTTGTTTGTTGTCAAGCTAAAACTGTTGCTAAGGTTTTCCAGCTTTTGCAGTCTGCTTTTGACATCATACGGTCTAATTTGTTCTTTCTCAAACTTGTGCTAATTGTTGATAAAACCAAAGGGATGTTGTTTTCAAACAGGAAGTTGGTCCCAGCAGTCCTTCCTTCTATTTTATCCTCGAACGGTGTTCCTATTGAGTTAGTCGATTCTTACAAATACTTGGGTGTCTTGGTCGATTCGCATCTATCCTTTAAATCCCACGTCAAAAACTTGGTAAGGAAACTGAAAGTAAAACTGTTTGTTTTTTTTTCCTTTCAGAAATAGATTCTGTGTAACTCTGAACACTAGGAAGCACCTTGTAACTATGACTTTCCTTCCCTCCATTGACTATTGTGACGTGACGTCATTTATATGAACGCTCCTGCAAGCACCTTGCAAATGTTGGACGCTGTCTATCACGGTGCGCTAAGATTAGTAACTGTAACTACTGTACCCACCACTGCGCCCTGTATTCACTGGTTAACTTGTCATCATTAACTTCATGTAGACTTTCCCACTAGTACATGTTCATCTTTGAATCATTTCTTGGTCTGTTGCCTTCATATATCTCCTCTTACATGTCACTACACGAGTGCAGCAACCGTGTGCACTCAGGACATTACTGCATGCAGTGTTCTCTCAGTTCGGACTGTACTAGGCAAAAGGACCTCCTCATACTTCATTCCTTTATCCTGGAACACCTTGCACAAAGATCTTAAGCTCTCGACCGTGACCTCTCTCAGTGGCTTCAAACATCTGCTAAGTTCATGGCAAAAAAACAATACAGACATGTTCCTGTTTTTAGTATTTTGCATTGCTTTATTTACAATGTGGCTGTTTTTGTTTTGTTTTTTAATATAATTTTCTTCCATTTACCTTTTCAATTTATATGCTGTCTTTTATGATTGTCTACTGTTGTCATTCTTTTATACTGTTGTCATCATTCCTTGTTAAAAACAGGTCTCTCTTCTAAATTAGTCCTCTAGGCTCAGTGAGGCTAACCTGTATAGATAAAGATTGAATGAGCAACAAGTTTCCACTTTATTCCTAGCCCCCATGCTGCCTTGCGTTCATTATGGGCACAACTTTCATTGCTGACCAGAACTGGCATTTGTTTGTGTGAACAGTACGAGCTAATGTAGTTTCTCCAAGACATCTGGAGCTACTGAAATCCACCCCCACCCCCCGCCGCACACACAATAAGCAGGAAGTCGGTCCCAGCAGTCCTTCCTTCTATTTTATCTTTGAATGGTGCGCCTTTTGAGTTTGTCGATTCTTACAAATACTTGAATATCTTGGTCGATTTGCTTCTCTCTTTTAAGATCCACGTCGAAAACTTGGTAAAGAAACTAAAAGTTAAATTCATGGTGCGCTAAGTTTTATAACTGGCTGTAACTACCATACCCATCACTGCACCCTGTATTCACTGGTTAACTGGTCATCATTAACGTCACGCAGACTCTCACACTAGTATATTTTCATCTTTAAATCACTTCTTGGTCTGCTGCCTTCTTATACTTCCTCCTACACGTCACTACGTGAGTGCAGCTGCAGCGTGCACCCCCAGGACGTTATTACCTGCAGTGTTCCCTCAGTGCAGACTGAACTAAGCAAAAGAGCTTTCTCCTACTCTGCTCCTGTTTCCTGGATTATCTTGCAAAAAGACATGAAGCTCTTGACCTTGATCTCTCTAAATGGCTTCAAACATCTGCTAAGTTCATGGCAAAACCCAGATCAGACATGTTCCTGTTTTTAGTATTTTATATCACTTTATAATATAGCTGTTTTTGTTTCATTTTTAAAAAATGTAATTTTTTTCAATTTATTTTTCAATTTATATGCTTTCACTTATGATTGTTTACTGTTGTCACTTTGTTAAAAAAAGGTTTCTCCTGTAAATGAGTCCTCGAGGCTTAATGAGACTAACCTGTATAAATAAAGGTTGAATGAATCCCCGTCGACAACTGGCCTTCGACGATTCCCTCCCCTTCACCTGTTGACAAAAGTCCCTGAAGACATGAGTGCATCCTGCCAAGGCAATGGATCTAGGGGAAACACTGGTTTCTGATTCTTGATTGCTCACATAACGCACTAAAGCAGATAAACCTTAAATTGATATGAACACATACATGTTACTTGGCTAACCACCATGTTTCTATTCTCTGTGTTTTGTGAGGCAAGTGAAAGTATTGGGTTATTACATGTGGTTTAGAACAAGGCTCAGGTTTCTTGTGCAGCACGTTTTGGGGGAATAGTTTGGAGTAAGAAAAGCTTGAGAGATTTATTCATGTTTGTGTATTTGTTTATCCACTGTTGTTTTTTTTTAATGTACCAGAAAGCTGTGAGGGAAGAAACATGGCTCTCTGCATCCACCTATAAATACATTTATTGCAAATATTATGAAACTGTTTGTGTTGTTGTAATTACAATTTTGTTTCATCTTTTTTTCCAGGATATTGTGGACTCTACAAGCAGCAGGAATTTTTCTAGTTGGATTTTAGCCCACTGAAATTCTCCCACAGCCATGGAATCGGTAGGTTGTCCAAATACCATCAAGCTGATTTCTGCATCTTTTTAAAGCCACTTTTTGTTGGAGCACTTAAGAAAGCGCCTTTTGTTGAAAAATAGGTTTTCTCTGTTTTGTTTTTCAAAGTTGTTGTTGGATCCATTTGTGAACATGTGTTTGTGTGGGCTTTCATTGTGAACACCACAGCTTGTTTACATGAGAACACAGCAATGTAAAAATACACATAAACCTAAAGTTTTGCCAACTTTATGGTACCCGAAAACATATTTTGTCTATAGATATTTACCTTCTCCAACAAACAACTATCAAATGGAATATGAAGAAGGCTAAAGACCCTTTTGTTGTCGAAAATGTAAAATGTTTTTTCTTCAGTAGTCTAAACAAAGGTTGTCAAAGGGTATAGTTCATTGCTTACATATTTGTAGCACAAGGTTCCACCTTTGGCTTCTATGCTTTGTTGGTTTGCAAGGGATTGTGGGTGCAGGAGATGCTTGTACCAACAGGCAGGCTGAAAGCACCGTAGTGTTGAGCTCTGTCTACTGGAATGCGTGCATTAGGAATGAGGCTTAGTTCATGCCTTACCTCTGCTTTCCTGTCCCATTGTCAGAAGCTGTGTGCGCTTGTCTGTTTTAAAGGCTATAAAAAGTAGGTCATGGTCTCTGTCGTGCAGAACTGCCATGTGTCCAACTAAAGTCGTTTAAATCCCTCAGTCTGTCTCACTCTCGCACGCAAAAGCATTTTTCCCGTTGCTCTTGTGACCATAGTTGAAATTCTGTGTAAAATCGTGGCTTTTGAGTACAAATCATGTTTATTATTGCTCAAAACTGCTCTCAGAAAATTGTCCTTAAGTTTAAGCCACAGCTTGATGGACATAGTTGCTGATGATTATGCTAACAAATGCACTGAATCCAAGCTCCAAATTTAAGGACTAATTTTGTAACACGCAGAATGTCTGTTTTGCAATGAAAGAAATAAGTAAAATTTTGAAACAAGAAGTCTAACTCAGGAACGAGTAAGCTTATTTATAACTTTTTTTTGCAGACTGATTAGTGTCTGGCCCTTTTTCAACCCCTGATACCAACAGCTGGAGCTCTGAATTTTCTTTCTCTTCCTCTGCATAAAAATAATCTCTCACCTCGTCTCTCTAAATCTCTTATTCTCCTTCCATCCTTCTCTGTTACATCTGCAAGCCTGTGACTGCTGAAGCAAAAGCTGTTTCTATTTACCTCTCCAAGCCGTCTATATCTGCTTACTGTCAGTGAAAACCAAGGAAACTGATCACAAAGCTTATTATGGCGCCAGGAGTTGGATGTATACTGTGTGTGTGAGCCTTTGGGAGCTGTACCCACACACACATATCAATCCTTTACCACTCTCCTCCCCCCTTACCTCATGTGATGCCAGTCACATGTTTTCCAGGCAAGCAGCTCAGTAAATCAGAATCAGACTTTTATTTTTAACTGCTTAAAACCTTTACCTGGTCTTAATGGTTTGTAACTGGCTCTTACTGGGGCCACTTTGTGTTCTGGAAATTCTGAGCTTAAAATGAGCATAGGAGGTTTTAGGCATGTTCACAAAACACTTCAAGCCTTGTTTGAGATATTTTTTTCTTTATGAATGCCATTTTTTGAATAAACTAAAGTGGCTTTGGGGGTTAAATCCAACCCACTGACGTGATGCCAAGCAGAGTAACATCAGAGCCAGTTACAGTTCCAGGATGATGTGATTTATGGTCATACAAAGTTGAGGGATTTACAAACCTAAAAACAATTAACTTAATTCATTAAACGAAAAAGACTGACACACAAACTGCATTTAGTTGAAGAATTTGGTTAACTACAAAGAGAACTGGTGAGTTAATATGTTGTGTTTTTAATATAGTATGAGGTCACGTGTTTTAATGTGTAGTGCTTCTTGTCAACACAGCTGAGTTCCGCTCCGTGACTCTTTTTGTTCTGCGACGCATGCTTTATTCTGGACACATCACATCAATGCGGATTAGATGAAGTGGCTATGTAAAGGATTTATTAGCAATCAAAGGCAGCTGGTCTTTATGGACATTTTGTGGAACTGTTGAGTGAAAATACTTTCTGATTCCACACTGCAAAGTCTTCAATGAATACTCATGTTACTCCTGTTCAGGTTTTCATCTGGAGGATTTTGCAATGTAACCATTGAAGATAGACTGCAACTAATTCCACTATCAGTTTGTGTATAATTTATCAATAATTTTGTATTTCCTGGGAAAAATAGATGAGCTTATGTTCACGTTTTGGCCCAGAAGCTACCAGTTGACAATCCTTAAGCTACATGCACTACACCTGAGTTTTATAGCTGTCTTTTCTAAAGTACATTGTTATGCAGGGTTTACCTGCACTCATTTTTCAATTGCCTGTTGCCATAGTAACCAACGTCTAGGTAATTTTTCCCCCCAACTCGCAAAATCCTAAACAGCATGTGAAAGAAAGAATTTCAATCCAGTATTATTCATTATCCATCAGGACAAGCTATTTATTCTCGATAAAGGCCATTTAATATTGGCGATCATAGCTTTCATCTAACGCTAAAAGCACCAACACCGGGCTGACAGGTTTCAAGCTGCAAGTACTGAAGCGTTCAAATAAATGGAATTAAATTACTTGTAAATCTGAAAGAGTGACCTCAAATTGTCTTGTGGCTAACATCACAAACCTGCTATGCATTTTAATGTTTTTTTTATACACATTTGGAGACTCTTGTATAATAAAGCTTAATATTATTTAAAAAATAGCTTTATTAGATGCTTTGTGGTTACTATAAACAAAACGAGCACAACATTACATTTAGCACATTAAATTATTTAAATATCATGTTTAAATGCCTAAATGAGTATTTTTTTTTAGCCATGCTCACTTTTTATTTACCTGTAACAAATGGTCCAAATATATAAAGAGTCTGTCTTATGAAAGTGACGAAATGCAGACTGTTTGTGCAAAAGATTCTACTTTATGCTGTAGTCGACCAATAGTCAAGCTGATTAGAGAGTTCTGCGATGGAGTTAAACTCAAAGCAGTCTGCTCCTCAGATAAATCATGTTAAATTATTATTTTATATATGAATGTTTCTGTTCAGTGCTCTGAGATGACTTCCGTTGTGACTTGACGCTATATGAATAAACTGAATTGATCAATATAATTCAGCTGTATTGGTTCAGCTGAGAAGCTTAAGCCTCCTACTTGAGCGTACTTCAGTCCACGGAGGTCGAAGCAGACATGTCTGTGCAAAGCTCAATTTTTACGACCGCTTATGTGTACTCGGTGTCGCACAATAAACTGCCCAGCGACGGACTGTTGTGTATGCGACACCAATGTATTAAATTCTCCTCCTTCATCCATGGTCTGGTTTAACAGCTCTTTCTTTTGTTTTGTTTTTTTTCCAAGAGGCAAGTGATCTCTTCGTCCTCGTTCATTGACACCTTGACTGAAATTGTGAGAAATGAAGAAATTTGTCACATGCGAATTAAAATAAAGCTCTTTGTGGCTGCGGGAGGGTCTGGAGAGTTCCTGGTGGGCTGGTCTGATGTGTGGGCTGCAGGGCCAGCGCTCCCTGTTTTGTTTTTTTAAGAACTTTTTATTAACAACATATAAACACAGAGCACCACTGCGGCTGGGGCTGCCAGCTCTTGCTTTTTTGTGGGGGTTTTTGCGACCTGTCAATCAATCCAGTAGGCATGTCAGCAAATGACCAGCCGGCGACCTCAATTTGTCCCTAAGGTAAATGCCCCTTGCCTGCAGAGCTGGTTTGCAGCCGCTCAGGGTTTATGCTTGAGTATGAAGTCTCAACCCTCTGCGAACAGTGCGCGTCGAGTCCACGCAGAAAAAGGTCCGCACGAGTATACTGGAACCTTTAAAGGGGAGATGTCATTGAGGCCCGGTTTACACAAAAATGATTTCTAGTGAAAATGGAAAAGTTTTGTTGCGTTTGTACTGTTTATAGCAAATGTTTTCTCTGACAACGGCACAATTTGAGAACGGGTTCCAGAGTGCAAGGGTTCAAAAACGTCCCGGTGTCCGTTGTCGTGAAAATAGAAAAAATAGATCTTTTCTGTCAGGGAATCCCTAGCTCAAACGCAGTATGACGCAAAACATAACGACTTCCTTCAATCCACAGGAGAAGAAACTATCAACAATGGCAGATAACCGGGGTATTGTTTGGGCTTCTGACTCTTATAAATCTATAAATCTAATTTCCCCAGACTGCTTTCAGTTTGGACATCACCTGGGCTTTTGTTATGGCGGTTATTTTGAGAGAAAAACATTAGAACGTTTATAACTCTTTTTTTTTTTTAACACATGCACACTTAGTTTCAAGTTCCAAAGAACATAACACTCAACTACACAAAGTTTGTTTTCTCAGTCATCCAGGTATATAACAACAAAAAAGGTTGAATCATGTCATCTGGACTTCGTTTTTTGTTAAAAAGAAACGTTTCGCCCCTCATCCAAGAGGCTTTGTCAGTCTGAGGCCTAGCCATCTGGTATTACCCAGAAGCCACCCTGACTCTTGTGTTTCAAGCCTGCCTCAGATACCCCTGAAGTCTGGCCTTTTCACTAATGGTTTCAAAAACACTCAACTAGTGGCGTGGCAAGGGAATTGCACCTTTTCCACGTCTACCGTTGCTGTGTAAACAGAGATTGTAATTAGAATGTTTTCATGTAAATGCGTTAATAGAAATGGGGGAAAAAATGTTGTTTTCATTGGATCGTTGTCGTGTAAACGGGGCCTGAGTTTGGTGCAGACGAAAGGTTAAAATTCTTGTAATCATACCTCCTGAACCGATTCCTACAGCTTTACGTCTATCTTTTTCTCCTGCTCCAAAGCTGGGCTTGTTCCTTGGTGGGGATTAGTTTGAGCAGCAGCTCTGAACAGAGAAGTGGGCCCTGCCAGTCAAATTACATAACTCGCCCCCGCTACTGCGCCTCAGCCTGGTCTGGCTGGAGAGACGACCATAGAGGCTTTGTTTTCCC